AAAAATGTCACCTGCGCTGAGCCAGAAGATCCAACAGGCTGTCCGTGAAGACACAGTCCGATCCTCGACCCAAATTAAGGCCATTACTGATGCTGACTGTAGCCCAATAACCATCAGACGGCATCTGCAACAGAAGGGCTTAAAGAACAAAAAACGTCTTCAAAGGCCACGTCTCCTCTCACGTCACAAACTTGCCCGTTTGCCCGCAAGGGAGCACCAAACATGGGACATTGAAAGGTGGAAGAAAGTTTTATTCCCTGATTCTCTACTCACTACTGAGTCCTTTTTTGACACTTTCAGTTCTGTTTTTGGGCTATGGTCTTAAACTTTTTATCAGCTGATGAACAGCCTATTTGAGCTTAAATGTAATTTTCAATAAATTGCCTACTCTATTTTTTTTCTCTTGCTCCTGTTTCTTCTTTTTGCATTTTGAAGCTCTACTTACAACCTTGTTATGTTTCACCAACGTGAAATGCGAATACTTGTAATTTTTTTGAATTTAATGTATTCCTTTTCCTGAACAAGGCAGGACAGACAGACAGACAGACAGACAGACAGACAGACAGACAGACAGACCGACGAGAAGTACAGACTAACTTACAAAATGTAATAAAGATTCATAAAACAAGATATGTGCCCAAAACTGTAAAAACTACTCACTGTGGTTTGCACAAGGAACATTCTACCAGTGATTTCTTGTTTTCCTATTAACTAAATCTGACTAATTGAATTAGAGACACAATGGCACAACAGATGTGTTACCGTCTATTGTTATGCAGACCTTTAATTTGCACATTAAAAATAAATAAATGAAAGCACAACAAATTCAGGGGGAAAAGCTTTTTATGTTTGGCTAAGTTGGAAAAGTTGGTGTACTGATAAAAACAAAATGGGACAAAGTGCACTGGAATCCGACTTGGCAACAGCAGCAGATGGAAATTCACATTGTCTTTTGCAGTTTTTCTGCAAATTTGGTTCTAATTCAGATATTTCAATTGCAATATGATTCACAATTTGTGCGGGAATGATCATTTTTGCATCATAAATTTTAATTTTCACTGAAAAAACTATTCAGGTCATGATGATGTGAAGTTTCTGGAGAACGAGATTTGCAGGTCAGGGGATCTCTGCAGCTCTACAGTACTTGATTATAATGCTGTTTGTCACACAGTTGACCTTTTTTAAGCAAATTATTAAAAACTATCGATCAATTGTGCAGCCCTATCCGATGTATCCAATGGACCTGTACTTGTACAGCGC